TGTTTCCGAACTATATAGAATAGTTGGTTGTACTATGGAACTGTAAATTTTTCCCTTTAATTTGTGTAAGATTCTTTTGTCAAATAGCACTCCAGATAAAGATCTCCACTTTAACCACCCTTGATTAATCTTATTCTTTATCTCTTTTTCTATTGTGCCGTTTGTTTGTATAGTGGAGCCCAAATATTTGCAGCTTTCAATTGCGGATATCTGCCAATCATTTATATCAATACTCTCCGTTTCATCTCCTCCTATCACCATATACTCCGTCTTTTCTCTATTTACTTTTAATCCGTGCGTTTCTAGGATATTTATCCAATTCACTAACCTTTCTTTCATTTCATCCTTGGATTCGGCAAGTATCACAATATCATCTGCAAATATCATATTCCACGGGACTGTTTGAGGTATAGACTGTGCTAATACATCTAATACTGTAATGAAGAGAAGTGGGCTGAGAGCCGACCCTTGATGAACTCCTTCGGCTATTGTGAAGCCTGCTGAAGTACCTGTTGTGCTACGGACCATTGTTGTATGTCCCATATACATATCCTCTATTATTCTTATATATTTTTCGGGAACTTTTTTGTGGCGTAGCGCCCACCAGATAGGTTTTCTTGGGATTCTATCGAAGGCCTTTTCTAGATCGAGAAAGACCATGTGTAGCTTTTTGTTCTTTTCCCTTTATTTTTCACTCATTTGCCTAATTGCATGGATAGCATCGGTTGCTGATCTTCCAGGCATAAAGCCAAACTGTGTCTCTCCTATTTCGATTATATCTCTTAATCTTTTTTCTATTATTTTTTCGTATAGTTTTAGACAGTGTGACATTAGTTTTATGCCCCTGTAATTTTGACAATTGTGTGGATCCCCTTTATTTTTGAAGATAGGAACTAGATAGCTCTGCCTCCATTTTTGGGGGACCTCTTCATTTCCAAGTATTTTATTGTACAGATTTGTGAGGAGATGTATTCCATGATCTCCTAGTGCTTTAAGGCTTTCTATTGGAATATCGTCTGGACCCCTAGCTTTGTTGTTTTTCATATGCTTGAGGCATGTGATTATTTCTTGTTCTGTTATAGGTTGTACAAGGTTTTGACAAGGGGAGTGTTCGTCGAGATGCAATATGTGGGAATTAAAGTTGAGAAGCTCCTGAAAATATTCTTTCCATCTATTCATTATTTCTTTTTCCTTTATTATCAATTTCCCATCTTTATTTTTGATTACTTTCGGAGCTCCGTTTATATCCCTAGAGTTCTTTTCTCGCTGTTTGGCTAATCTGTATATTTTATTTTGCCCTTCTTTGGTATGTAGATCTTCGTACATGTCATCGTATGCCATAGATTTGGCCCTAGCCACCGCCTTTGTAGCTAATCTCTTGGATTTTTTGTATCTTGACTTGTCATCTGCATTTTTGGATTTGTACAATATTTTATAAAGGGCTTTTTTCTCCTGTATAGTGGTTTGTACCTCTTGATTCCACCACCATAGTTCTTTGTGTGATTTGTTGCCTCCTCTTGTCAAGCCTAGCGTCGATTTTGCAGTGTCTATTAATCTGGATGAAAGGTCTGTCCATATTTTTTCACTGACTTGTGAGCAATTTATTGTTTCAATGTTTGCATTGATTGCAAAGGCATCTGCCATTGTTTTTAATTTGCCCCATTTGATGCATGGTTCCAGTTTTATCTTATTTTGAGTGGATTTATTTGAGATTTGTAAATCCATGATTAGTAGCTTGTGTTGCGCGGCGATATCTTCTCCTGGGATGACTTTGCAGTCTATTACATCTTTTAATCTTCTGCGAGAGATTAGCATGTAATCTATCTGTGTTTTCCTAGTACCACTTTCATATGTTATTAAATGACTGTCTTTTTTCCTATAGTAGGTGTTGGTTAAGGCAAGGTCGAAGGCTTGCGCAAATTTCAGTACGTGCTCTCCTTCATCATTTCTTTCTCCGTATCCAAAACCACCATGATGCCTTTTGTAGCTATCTCTTGCTTTCCCCACATGCGCATTTAAGTCACCACCAATTATGACTAGGTCATCCTTAGGGATTTCCATTACGGCTTCATCAAGGATAGCTCTAAAGTCATCTTTCTCTTCTTCCTTGCAACCCGTTTGAGGAGCATATACTGATAGGATGTGTAGTATTGATTGACCAATGCAGAGTTTTATCTTCATTAGTCTATCAGAGATCCTGTTGACTTCTACGAGGAGGTTAGATCTTGACTGAGGATGATGCCGACACCGTTCCTATTGCTAACAAGTCCATTATAGTACAATTTATACCCATCTCCAATCATCAAAGTCTTCTGTCCTTTCCATTTCGTCTCTTGTATGCACGCTATATCAACTTTTCTCCTGTTCAACATTGATGCCAATTCTCTCGTCTTACCTTTAAGCGTCCCAATATTCAAACTTGCCAGTCTTTTCTTTGCTTTGACCTTTACTTTATTTTTCACAGGATGGAGGTCTACACCCTGCGCGTCGCATGGAGGGAACGCCCTAGCTTTCATATTCATATTTTCATTTGTGTCCTTCATTTTGTTTATTGGACAGGTATCCTTAGTACCCGGCTGTCCAGGCCTGTCGGTGACCGGGGTGTCATCTCTAAGCTCCGAAATTCATCATACCATATGTCTTTACACATCAGTCATCGAAGAAAAACTTGAAAGTTTTTATGGTTCTTACCAGGATTGAACCCGCGTCCTTGTTCATGCTCGTGTTTCCAAGCCTACATCTTACCCATTAGGCCACCCCGGCGTTTAATTTAATTTTATTAGTTAAACAAAAAGAAAAAATTAGACATTTCTATGAAAAATTGGTAAAGAAAAAATCCATTGATCTGAAAGGGGTGAGAGAAACGAATTTTAAAGATGAAATTCGTAATATCAATGCGATGATAATTACCGACATTAATCTTAATGATGCCAATTTGTTATGTGGTTGCCTCAAACACAAAGAAAAATCTCCAACGGCTCAGAAAGAGAGTAAAATAAATATTATAGATATGCTTATGATTTGTATGATATTAGACAAGCAAAAATGGGAGAAACTTTCCGATATTAACTTGGATGGTTGCGATGAGAACGAACGCCAACATATATTAAAACCTTTGGATTTCAAGTAAATTAGATGGATTTAGTTGATTTTAAGAGTATCTAATAAAGCGATAAAAAGTGGAAGATGGATAAAATATACTATTCCATTCGTTGAATTTTCGAAAATTAATTTGTTTAAAATATTTTGAAGAGTGATAAATATGAATTAAGTTTAATAAAATGTTTCCTAAAATTATATGAATAATTAGATAAAATCCTTATCATTATATGTATTCGATTCGAATTTTCAAAAAAAAATTTTTTTTATTGGAGATCAATACGAATATAATAGAATCGCATATCGTATAACAATGGCATAATGTCTAATTAATCTATTAGCTGTGCTAAAAAAAGGAAGAAAGATAAATTAAGAGAGAAAAATAAATGATGAAAGTATTTTTATTTAGAAGATGTCTAGTTTGAGTCTTAAATAAACTAATAATTTTTTAATAAAATATTCAAAATATAGTGAATTAGGTCTTAATGCTAATCGAGAATCCAAAATGAACATATGCGACTGGACAAATTATAAAGGTAATCAAATACTTTTTTCTCTGAATATTTGACTCGCTTACCTATTTTTTTCCCCCAAAGTTTAATTGAATTTATAAAATTGCCCATTTAGGTTTTGCAAATTATTACTGGGAATTTTATCAAAGTCGATATTTCATTCATAATATCTAAAAATTATTAAAATTTCTGATAAAAATCTTCATTTTATTTAATACCCACAGAATCGTCCAATAAATATTTCCCGCATAGTAAATTTAGCGGCCTTGATTCCAGGAAATTAGAGAAGAGTTTAAATTTATAAACCATTCTATTTCTCCAATATATTTTTAATCAGGTTTGTTAATTTATATACCAATTTTTTATTAATAAAGTTCTAAGAACACCTAAGCCTAAATTGTCCGAATTTAGATGTCACGTCGTAGGAAGTGGAGCATACGGGATGACAAATTCAAGCTAAAGAATTCCACCCAAGAATATGCTTTGAAGTTTCTCAATAGACGATTTCAATAGAGTTGAGGTTTATATTAATTTATCTTTTTATTTAATGTGATTGCACTATAGGCTTTTTCCCATTTTGGATTGTAAATCATAATTTGTATATAGAATATAGCTTCCGTCCGGTGTATACGAACAGAAATAAATGTACTTAAAACTGCCAATAAACATCCTTTCTTGGTTGGACTTTATGCATTTTATCAAACTCAGCGCAATATTTTATTATTTATCACCGATTTAATGAGAAATATGAAAATATAAAAGTTTTAGCTAGGAGCATAATAAACTGAAAATATGAGAATTCTAAATATTAATTGATTATTCCTCATGATAGTCACTGCAATGTTATAAGAAGTAATTTTATCTCCTATCTTTTAATTGCAAGAGCGTTTTTAAAAAACTAACTTAAAAAGTTGATCCTGAATGAGAACTTTCAAAAAAAAATTTAATTTAAAATCTCATATTATTTTATTTTGTAGCTGTATAATAGTGAGGGATTTCACTTCTGACTTCTGGCGGGGATCTTAGATCCCTTTTAAAATGATATGGAAGACTCCTTGAAGATCACGCAATATTTTATTCCGCCGAAATCGTTATTGCCATAAAATATTTGCACGACAACGGTTTTTAGAATATATATTTTTTAAATGATATGTTCTTGTATTTATTATATATATTGTTAATTATAAAGTAATAAGGTACATTTTTAAGTTACTTTTTATAATGGCTGGTAATTGCAACAGTTACTTATAGATAAAGTAATCTATCTTTAGCTAATTTCTAGTCAACTTTTAATAAACATTATTTTAATATAAAACAAATTCAATTACAATGTATATTTTTATCTTTTAGATCATTCATCGTGACATCTTTACCGGAAAGTATACTTTTAGACCGGAAAGGCCATGTGAAAAACTTTGCATATTTTAAGGTATATAAAATAATTATTTTTGAAGAGATATGATAATAGACATTTATGCCGATAAAACTATCTATAGCCAGCAGTGCGCTGTTTTTGGCGGCTTTTATTTTGGGCTATATTAATCGGTGCACCGACTTAAAATTTAATGTATTAAATTTTTAATTTTTAATTCCTAATTAGATTTTTTAAGAAAAGCTAAATATAGTTAGAAATAAAATATATAAAACAGATATATAAGCATATCATTATTTCTTTAGTGAAAAAAAAACGAATTTTAAAATAAATAATATTTCATAATTTTAATCATTTGTAAACGAGTATCAAAATATAGATCTATGCTATCAGGATCTAGCAGTTCCTATGTTTGATCTATTGAATTTGGGGAATTTTTTCTTTATCTCGGACTTACACTCAAAACCTCTACCATTTTATATCTTACAGCATTATTATCTCTCAGATTAGATTTTAAACCAATGGTATTTTTTTTAGTACCATCCACAGTTACAATATAATGTAAACCATTACTAAACATAACTGGTGTTCATAAAACTATCTAATCTAACCCTTTCTAACCAACAAAAGTATTTTTCAGAATTTATTGAAATTGTTTTATAATCTTATTTTAAATACAAAAGTCCCAAAGAATTTTCGTACAAATTTTCTATTTTTACTGTTTGCGGTAATAATATCAAATCATTGACAAATTTATTAAATGCCTATGCAGACATTATCCATTATAAGAATATACAAATAAATAGTATCCTTTATAGTTTTCGATTTTTGATTGCATGATGGCTGGGCGGCACACGGCTGTGTATGATAACAATTTTATTTTAATCAAAGTTTGGAACCTTTAGAAAATACTTGGATCTACGAAACAAATATAAATTTAGGAACCACGATTAGAATATTTTAAACATTTTGTCATTCTTTAAAAAAGAATTTGAAAATAGAACCATACCTTTTAATTTAATTGAAAGAAATATTGGTAAGCTTTTATTATTTCAACAAATTACAATTTCTAGCTCTTAATGTAATTAATTCTTCTTATTAAATCTTGTGTAAAAATCCTGTTGATTCATACAATGCTGCGGGAAAATTCATAGTTAAATTTGTTGAGCCCGAGCTAATACTGATTTGCATCTACCGTAATTACTTAAATTAGGAGGGCATAGCAAAAGGCGACAAAGTTAATGGCTTCTGTGGGACAATCCCTTACATGGCGCCCGAGATTATGCGTAATGAATACTATATTATGTTATTTATTTTTATATATCTCCCTATGTCGAATATAGAAGATTATTTTAAATATCTTTTAAACCTAACTTTAAAAATTTTAATAATTAGTACCAAAAGTTTATTTTTAATCTTTAAAATTATTAGATAAATATATTCTATTTTACTCAAAATTTTTATATTAATTATGAAAGATTACCGTAGATTGGTACTCGTTCGGAGTTGTTCTCTACGAACTATTAATTAGCCCTGTCGATTTACTAGAGTCTGATGAAGCTACTTCTCACTACTGCCAAGGTTAAATTTACACTTTTAATGTTTCTTAGAATTTTGTTTTTTTATAAATTAGCTTTTTTAAAATTATTTTTATTATTAATCACATGTAATCATGTTTAATATTTTGTTAAATTCAGCAATACTTTCAGGTCCTTGGCGTGTATCAGTCGAAGCCATATAATTTAATTTGGCCCATGTTATACAACCCTAAAGCAATTTTAATTTTAAATTGTTTATATAGGTTATGTTGTTTAAATACTGATTAAATTTATTTAGATTTAAGAAAAACTTAAGTTAAAATTCTTGAAATTAAAATTGAAATATATTATTAATTTGTAACAAATTATTGAAATGTATTGTTTTTTAAAAATTGTTTTGTAGGAGTTCTAACATATGGCTAGTTACATATAGCCCTATGCTAATATTTTTTATTGTTGCTTATGAAATTTTTGCATATTTTTATAAGTTTAAACAAAATGTCTTAAACTTTATATAAATCAGGAAATGAATCCAGATATTATATCTGGTTCTTTATTAAAAAGAAATAAGATAAGTTAAAAAGTCCTGCAAGTTCTCCCAAAAGTAAATGTAAGGGTAAAAAATTATTTGATTTTATATTGTCAAAATAAAAAACACCAACACTTAATATGTACAAGATTTAAAAACCCTGAAAAACAAGAAAAGCTTCAAAGTTTTGCAATCTCATACCAATCGTATCCGACACAACCGGGTCTTTTGGCAATCATGCCCTAACCTTCTTCAAAACCCTCGGTAAAAAAATCCGCGCCATCACTGGTGACCCTCAGGAAGGCTTCTATCTCAGACAGCGCATATCTATTGATATATGCAGATCTAACTGCATTGCCATCCATGGCTCTCTTTCTTGACCTCCTCCCACCCAACATACAATTTACTATACTAATTATTTATTTTTTTATTATACAGTTTTTTATATAGATTTTATATAAATAGTTTACATGACATTTTTAATATATATTTTTTTTTAAATTACGTATATATGTTTTACTTTTAACGTTCAATGTATTAAATATTATAAAGTTCTTATATTTCAAAAAAAAAATATATAATACAATTAACAAAAAAAATAAATCTAAATTTTATTCTAAATATAAATTAAATTTAAAAAAAAAAAAAATTTATAAAATGAATTTTCTTATAAAAATATCATCAATAATAAAGTAAATTAAAAAAAAATTTGTTTACACTAAATACCATAATATCTTAAATACCTGAGTTACCAATCCAAATTTCGTCGGCTCAAATCGAGGGTTGGGCGAAAATTTTTACCACATATTTTCAAAGTAAGCGAACGAGCTTAAATTTTAAGACAAATATTTTCTATAGACCATGAATTATTATGGGGAAATATTTACGATTTTAAATGACCATAAACGGTTAGAAAAAAATTATGGGGGATCGTGAACTACAAAAAATCAAGCGATTAGCACTTTGGCAGTAGATATTGAACGCAGATGACTGCAAAATCTAATATCACTTTGATAAACGAGATTAGTTGCATATCGGGGCATCAAGTAATCATACAGCCATCTTTGAATGGTAGTTTGGCAGATTAGATCAATCACAATTAAAGACAGTAATTGAGTAAAAGCTCATTAAGTTGCGAATGTTCCTGGCGAAATCTTTTTATACAAGTTAAAAGGTGCCCCTATACCTTCCATTTCCATTTATAATTATTAAAAATAAATTTAATAATTGATAAGGGAAGAAGAAAACTCGCTCAGCGGCAACGAGTTAATATAAAACACAAGCATATTTCATTTTGATAACCCTGCATTCAAAGTTAGAGCGAATTCGCTGCGTCTTTAAAATATGATATAAATATAATATTTTACATTTAGTTTTATATGCCTCACCGCGAATTTGCGCTAACTGAATTTGCGCTAACTGTGAATGCAGGGTCACTAATGTTATTTTTTTTATCTGGGCTATGGCGGTAAAATAAATAAATAAATTTATGTATTTATATTATAAAATATAAGTTTATCATTATTTCGTGTTAAAATCAAAAATCGATTCAAATTTCTATTATTCATAGATTTATGGAAATAATGATTTCCTGAATCGGCTTGCTTTAATTTATTTTTTTCAATAAATTAAAAATACGAGATGGTGGGTGGGTATAAGAATAAAATTTAAGATAAATTATTTTAATAATTTATAAATCCATTTACTTATTTTCCACTATTATAATAATCCTTAATTAATGCGTGCACAAATTGTAAACGAATCCTTTCCTTGCTATGCAATCTGATTTTAGTTGTTTTTCTTATTTTTCTCCAATTGATTCTATAATTGTGATTTGTTGCTAAAATTTAAATAATATGCTTTATTTCATTTTTTTATAATCCGGGACTTCACCCTTCCTAGAATTTAAATGGCACAATAAGAACACCTAACCTAATATTTTCGCCAACAAATAGTACGCATGGAGATTTTAGATGGGTAGAAAGGTTTGAATATCTATTAACAAAATCTCAAGGCTCTCATAATATTATTTTGGTTGAAATCTTAATTTAAAATTAGCGAAACAAATTTTTTTAACACTAGTCATTTCACGTCTGAATATCAAATAAGAAGTTGTCTGTATTTTAGAGAAGGAAAAATAAGGTTTAAATATTAATAAAATCATTTTAAGTATTTATAAATATATTTTAATTAATTTTTTTTTAAAAAAAATCCCGTAGGGTATGTCCTGATTCGACTTATTACTAAACAGCCTAAAAAAGCAAGCGAATTTTTTTAAAAAAAACACAAAATAACAAAATCAAAAATAGAAAGAAAACAACGAATAAAAAAAACGAGAGAATAAATATGAAAAATAACATTGCCACTTAATAAAACAAGTCTTGGTTAAAAAGCATTTAAGTATCAAAATTCCTTAACCAATTTTTATTTTCATCGTTGTTGGATGAGAAGTAATATAATTGTATCTTAGAGAAGTCTTTTAATTTCGGGTAATAATATACCACGTCTTTTTTCATGTGTTTTTGTAAAAATATTAGATATCGTGATAAATTATTCTTATATATGAAGGAATTATTGTTTTGGAGTGGTCAATGTGGCTCAGGTGCAAAATATCTTGATTGAAGGAGCAGTTCAATTTTAGGTGGGGCCAGTTTTTCCTGAAAATAACTTACTCGAGTAGGTAACTAAGTTTAAAGAGATGGTAGAAAGGTATACGTGGTAGAGTTAATCTTAAGTGGATGTTATTATATTCTAATAACATTTGGGCGCTGTGACACATCTTACATAATGACCCTAGGGTTTCAGAAGTAGATATCCCAAATGTAACTGCCACGGCTCTTAGACAGAATGTAGGCACTTCCTTCGAACGGCAAATTTGCCTTCTTTAGTGAAAATACTGTTTTACCAATTATCAAATTTAGATAATATTTGAAAATTTACCTAATCAAAATGTAAAGATTGTTTTATGATATTATAAATCATAAAGTTTTTTTTTGTTTACAAAAAGATTTATATATGCAAAAAAAAATAGTTGAACATCTTTGAAAAGTATTTATCGCGTTCGCGTGTGAATGTTAATAATTGAATTAGATAAGAAAGGAAGTATATTTTTTTTTACTTTTTGCACTTTTAAGCCAAAAACCATTAAAATATATTTCATAAAGTTTGCAAGATTTATGTCATGGCTGCGTGCAGTCTTCTTTTTTATAGATAAGTATTCATATATACATTAATCTACAAAAAGCTATAATAAAAATCTACATTTTTGTTTGCTTGAAGGTCAGTTTTTATGTTAACTAAAAAAAAAATCTCTTATTTTTGATTGAATGTTAAATTCATAAATTAAATTTTTATAACTTATCATTTTGGTTAAATTAAATATACCATATTTCTTTCATTGAATTTGGTCATTATTGTTTTTTTTAATCGTTAACAATATTAATTATGCAATTTTCTAGATTTAGATACGAGAAAATGATGAGAAAATATATAGTATAAACTTTATTTTATTAAATTAATTCCAAAACAGTAATTACTTCTACATTAACACCTAATTTTTTTTATAACAAATATAGTAGATCAAATTCAAATAATATGATGTATTTGTACGTATATATATATTCTTTAAATGTTTATTTGCAAAAAAAAATTAATTTAAGCATATCAAAAATTAAAAATTATAATTAAAATTAGATACAATTTAGTATATAATTAAAAAAATATAAAATAAAAATGTATCATTAACGATTTTTTTCTATATAAAATTTTTTTTTTGATATTTTTGTAACTTGATATTTTTACTTTACACATAATTTAATTAAACTTTCCATGCTGCAATTTTCGACACAACATTGTTGTAATACGTTCTTAGCTCTAAGTCTATTATACAAATCTTGATTATCGTAATTATTCGAATCTCGATTAGGGGTCTGTTTCATTCTCAATTTTTCTTGTCCAATTGACATCATCACATCGTAGTCTTCATCTTTACAAAATCAATATTTAAACACAACATTTATTTTTTTATAAAAATTAAAAATATTATTAGTTTAAGAATAATTTTTATACTAATAATCAAAGAAATGAATTTAAATGTGCAGAACTTTTCTCTCTTTTCGCGTCGAATAATTAATTATTTTACGACTACTCAAGTGAATTTGTTACTTATCATACTTAATTATAAGTTTAGTTAGTAGGCGCTGCAGAAGTAATGAAATTAGAGATCTACAAAGCCCAGCCTGGCCTATTAAAGTCTTTTGTCCAGTAGGCTCGTTAGAATTTTACGAAAAGTTAGGCCAGCCTATTCAGCGATCTTATTTAAAATATAATGATAAATCTCTTCTTTCTTTTATGAATATTACTATAGGGAAGATGGCAATTAATTCTTAATTAATAAAATTAATTATATTTATAATTGGTTAAGAAGTTTATAAGCATCTGGTTAATCCGATTAAACCACAATAAAATGCCAGTTGATTATGGCTAAGGGGTGTGGTTTAAATGAATCATGTTAT